TATATTACATTCCTGTATAATTATATTTATATGAATCTTTTAACTTAACAACAAATTTTTATTCCTGTAAAGCAAAATCTTTGTGTGAACAATTACTATTGTAATTTCTCTTTTTAAACTTTTGTAGTGATTATAATATACAGTCAACCCCCCTATAATTACGGTCCCTATAATTACGATTCCTATAAAACTACGAAAAAAATATACGTATTTTGGAAATGTTGAGTCGGATTAGTGTAGAATCGATTAATTTTATGGAAGAAAACCTTTCAATCAGCCGTAGTCCGTAAACTTGACATGTGTCGGGCTGTGATTGGAACAACTTGTAAGAAATCGGATTCCTAATAAATTGGAACGTATCTATATCCTATAGGGGGGTCGACTGTAGTAAGTATATCTATGAGGGTCATTCAATAATTAATGCACATAATTTTATTTCTTGGCTGACTTTCATTATGAAACTTTGCATAACGTATTTTTAACAATTGTATAACAGCACAAAGTTTCCATTAATTCCGTTAGGTGGTTGTAGTATAGTGTAGTTTAGTTTTAAAATAGCAGCTGCACTTGAGACATGTACATAGCAGAGAACCATGATTAAATTTCTTTTTGCGAAGCACAAGACCATCTCAAACATTCACAGATGGTTACGAGGATGAAGCAGTGGATAGGAGTACTGTCAGTCATTGGGTTAGTGTCAACAACAGAACAAGGTAAAGCAAGACTGTCAGATCTTCCACACTCAATATGGCCACATGCTGCTATGCCTCCAGAGAAAGTTGATAGGCTTATTCGAAACATCAGGTGAATAACAACCAACTTGCTACTCAACTAGGCATCTCTGTGGTTAGTGCTAACACAATTATCCACCACTTAGGTTATTTTGCACATCAGGAAGTGGCTGAGAGAAAGACCAGCTGAGTGGTACCGAACTGGCATCTAGGTAACGCAAGGCCATAGATTTAAATGGAGACTATGTGGAATAAGGGTACTTATAGCCAATTAATTGAGAAATAATGTAGTATATTTGGATTTGTAAAAAAATAGATCTTTTTCATACTCAAGGTTTATGTGCATTACTTATTAAATGTCCTAGTATATATACATAGAGAAAGATTAATCAGTTTTAAATTTTAACTTATATTTTCAGTTCAATTAAATAGAAAAGCAATATTCAAATAACATAAGATTTAGCATTTAATTTTATTAGCTATATTTAATGAAAAGTAACTGAAATATTTGCTATTTGAAAACATATTTTATCAGTAATTTCAGTAAAATGTATTTTTTTTAACAGTTTTTTGTCTGAATTATATCTCTACTTAGTTTGCTGTAAAAAATGATTTATAAGAAAGACTGTTTTTTTTTTTATGTGCACACATGCAGTATGACAGAAGCCTAAAAGATAGGGCACATCAGAAATGTAACAGTAGCTGTCCAAATTACTGACTATGTGAACAAGAGATGACTGGGATGTGTATCCAATGGTGCTGGGCCTGCAAATGATGATGAATGTAAACTAGAAAGAATCGTTCCTCTCGGAGCCTTCACACATGGATATGACCATCATGATGGTATACATAGAAGCAGGCTTTGTGTGGAAAGATTATGGAAGCAGGAGTGGTGTCACATCATCATCAGTGAATGCACCATTGTAGGTCCACCTGGATGGTGGGGTGATGGATGTTGCCACCCCGCGGACATTATGTTTTTTTTTTGTTATTTTCTCATATTTATGTTTTACAAATTTATTATTGTTTAAATACTCCATAATTTAATTTATCTAGTTTTTTATACATTTTTTTACAACTGTAATTACTTAAATTATTAATAAATGTGTCATAACTCTCGTGAGAAAAGACGAGAGGAGAACAAGAGCGTTTGATGAACGTTAGTTCGAAGCAAAGTTTGTCCTGTCTCTTTTAACAAAAACGAGAAGCATAAACAAAGATCATTTATTACATAACACCACCTATCTCTGCTGCAATGGTCACTGTGCTGATAATCTATGTTGCTACAGACATTTGTTGTTCTGAAAATGACCCAAGTTCCTGACTCAGGGTGTGATGTGGCTGTACGATTCTGCAAGGCCATATGGAAAAGTTATCTGCCCTCTCAGGCATTACCTACCAGGACCACTGATGTAAGGAACCAAGTCCAAGCATTATTTTTAGTTATTTTTTATTTTGCTTTGGGCTTATGTTTTGTTAGGATGAAGGTTTCCTCACCACTCACCTTAGAAACTTAACCCTGCGTTAGTGCACTGAGTTTTTTTTCGGCATTAGTGCAGTGGGGCGTTTGTCAACCCCAACATTTTTTTGGGTCCATAAACTATGTAAGTNTCTTTCCCTGCCATCTTGTCTTTGGCTTACTTTAATCTAGCTGTTTTATGAAATTGTGTTCATTTTGGTTTGGCAGCCATTTTTGTAAATTTGGCATTTTTATGATTATGTATACAGTTGCTGGTGAAACTGCAGTTGGCAATGTTGATGTTGATTCTATGACAGACAACTTGTTGACCGTCAGTAGCCGAAAAACCTTTCTTTCATTTCTAAGTGTAAGGAGTTTAGGCCTTCTACGTTTCTTATTTCTGACATAATTTTCACTCTGAGTTAACACATTTCTCACAGCACATGCAGATCAATTTACAGCTGCCAAAATTTGTCTTAGAGCTTGTCCTTTTAGTTGGTAAATTTCACATATTTCCAACTCTGTTAGTGTTTTTCCACGAAGCATTGTTTTAAATCACAAAAAACTGTTTAAAATTGGTGCTGCATTTGTAATAATGAATGATACTACCTTCTGGTTAAAACTAATTAAACCAATAATTAATAAACAAATGATCATACTAATTTTATGCACCTATGTTTATACTTTTGAAACAATCAACATTTGAAAATCTGTGATAATTTTTTTGTAATTGTCAGATAGCTCTAAAAATTTCAGAAAATGTTTAAATTGGTGTTGTAAACAACATACTAATATAATAAATACATTACTATTGTTAATGTTTGTTATTGAAAAAAGTTGGATGTGTTTATAATTTTGAAACGAACTGACTGTATGTATGTATGTATATAAAATATCATCTACACACGAACTCGGGAACAGAGTGTGTGTAGATGATTGTTTACTTCAACAAAAATGAGTAGAAAATTAGTTATGATTCAACCTTAAATTGCAGTAATCCAGTTGAAGGGGGGAAATGCATTGTTGGTATCATTTTATTGTCTCTACTTGCCTCAAGCCATTGTAAAAAAAAATGGGAGTCTTTATGAAGCCATTCTTCAGTTTATACGTAGTTTCATCTATTAATGTTTGCATCACCACCATCCATCTCCATTCAGATATGCACTTGTAATATTAAACTGACATATTTTTCATTTTCAACTGTGGAAAGCATAGTCCTTAATTACTTCAGTCTAGTAGTAGGTGCAAATACTTCATTACATTCCAAATAAGAAATCTGCTGAAAATTTCCCATATTAATGTTATTTTGAATTACCAGTATTTTATGTTTCCTTCATATTTTCTTTTGAATATCCATTTCAAACCTATGGTATGTATTCCCTCAAAGTAAAGAACTACTACTCATGTATATTTTTAGTAAATATACATTTTAGTAAATATACATAGTAGTAATATAGAATTCATATTATAGCTGTCTTCCAATTCTCTTCAGAATGCATATTTTCTATTAATGTTTTGGGATCCTTGTTTCTTATTTAGATTGTCTTGGGTGTGTGTCTTATGACAGAATATATTGCATATGCTGCCAAAAGACAACACACCTTTTTTATGTTTCCTTTGCTTTTGTGAACTTCGTTTATTATGCTTGTTATATGTATAATACTCTGATAACAGATAACAGAATATTCTTCATTATCAAATGAGGTATCATAATAAATCCCTTGATATAATGAAAAAGTGCCCTGTTCACAATCTCAAATAATGTAGCCATTTCCATGGTTTAAATATCCAACAAAACCCTAGAAAACAAACTCTGTCCTGAAGTTAGTCTTCTAGTCTTTCTTCTAATACTTCATCTAAACAAAACATCCATATTCTTTAACTTTGGAAAAGGTTCTTGATTATTCATGACATTAATAAAAACATCAGATAAAATAAAGTTCTTGTAGCTATTTTATTTCTCAATACATTTTCTATATTTACAGTTTATCCCACATGTTCATTGGCAGACCTATTTGGATAAGCAAATACTTAGATTCAGACGTTCATGAATATGACCTTTCCTTACTATTGGGGACTACATTACCCATGCAATAACAAAAAGTTATTGAATTTTCTATCATCACATTATCTATATGTAATACCTTTACAATTTTTTTCTGTCTATTTTTCACATTTATTCTTAAATTATTTGAAAGTTTCTAATAATTCATCTTTTATTTTCAGAACATACTTTTTCCTCCTCTTAACAGTAAATTTATAGACCTAATGATATCAAAGTGAACATATTATAACTCTTTTGTCACCACTTCCCTGAAAGTGAGAATACAATATCTTCAATTTTCCATTTTTACATATTTCACACAAATGTTATGGAACTCCTATTATTTTCTACAGTAGTCTAATATAAACTAGACTCTTTATGATTAATTAATTAATATTTTAAAATACTAAATATATAATAATAACAGTAGCAATTATTCATTTACCAAGAATACTTAAAAATGCTATACATTAACATTAATAAATGGATAACTAATCATTTCAAATTACACTAAAAATTATTCCACAATTATAGAAGTTTTGAAATCTGGTAGATCAGACTCTAAAATATATTTTCAGCTTATTTACATGCTTAATTTATAACATATAAGAAACAATTAAATTTTAACAATCATGTTAAGTTATATTCCAGTAGAGTGCAATCTACAATAATGTTATATTTGTAAGATAATAGAGAATTTTCAAAAATCAATTTTAGAGCATTTAAATATGTAAAATTATAAAACTAAATGCAAAAATAAACATACCCATATACAGTTCTGGAATGTGTTCTACAATTGCCCACTTTGTATCCATAACAACATGGTTTTTCTCTGCTAACAGATGACAAACATGACCAACAGTCATTCTTTCATCAATTAACAGACTCTTTGCACTGTTGTCAGCTGTAAAAGCTTTGATGAAAAGCTATAAAATAAATATTGTTAATTATTATTATGCAATTCTTTTAATATTAATACAAAAAAATCATTTTAAATTTTCTTTTCTTTTTTTATTTACTTTTAAAAAGACCATATCAGAAATTTATCTAAGCTGTATTACAGAAAATACTTCCCAACAGATACATCTGCACAAGTTTATTTTTATTCTTTCATATGAAATGTCCAAAAGAGATTTATTTGATTATGGCAATATGATGCATGGGTTATCTCCCAAGGGGAATGCCTCCAGGACTTTGGGAAATTGGCCCTTATTTAATTATTACAAACATAAAAAAAAACCCAAAAAACTTCATGTGGCCAGCCATTGGCAAGGTGCAAATCTACAACCAACTACCAATGTTCAATGGTTTTATCCACTCAGCCATTGGTGAGTGCAAAATGCTCAAAATAGATTGCAAAAGCATTAATATAAAAATTACAAATTTAAATTTGTGTACAACATTTTCAGCTTTTACATGTTTTTTTAGCTTTTTCTCAAATTTTATAAGATATACTATTTATTGACGTTCATTTTCATTCTATAATGGTTATAGAGATAGAGAATGATATTTTATTCCTATAGCTTAACTTGGAATCTTTTATTATAATTATGAAGTTACAATTCTCATATATATTTAGCAATTTAATATAAAATTTATTTATTGTATATATATAAATAATCTGTTTATATTCTTTAAAATAGAATAGTATAAGTAAAGTTATGAATATAAGACAAATAACAAGATCATTTCTATCAGTTTTCTGACTGTATTTCTACAGCAGAGTCATAGAACAATGTCATAATTTTAATAAGCAAACTAAAAGCAAATTGTCAATATTATAGAGTGAAAAATAATAATGCCTCATTAAAAAGTACAAATGTTATGTTTGTTAATTTTAAACATTGCATTGACAATGATTAAAAAAGTTAATAATACCAACTTATCATTACAGTAAAACCTTGATTTAAAGTACTTCGAAGTTAACAGACAACATTTCCAGTCCTTATGTTCATTTTAAAATGATTTTTTGTATGACATATGTAATTAAATTAACAGGTTTTTTCAAATCCAAGAGTCGCTGCTCTTTCAATATATCATCATCTGACGATAAAAAATTTTCTATTTATTTGTTTTTGTAAAATTTAAAGTTTGGTTTCTTTTTAAGAACATAATTTATTTGTTTACTTAAATACTGTTAAAGTGTATTTTCAAAAAATTGTTTTATTTATTTATTCTGATTTAGATCATATACTTGTTCATTAAGGTCTCAGAACTATGATAAGTACATAAGCAATAATATTATATAAAGAACTTTTCTATAAAATTAAACTTCTTATGAATACTTAATTTTATTTACACAAACATAGCTATGTAAGTAAAAATAGGTTTTCAAATGTATGTGTTAAACTAACTAATTTGTCAATTTTTTATCTATTGGTCTTTCAAATTATAGATCAATAGACTAAATAGACTAATTCAGGTGAGGGAATGTCTTTAATAATTATACAGTAAAAACTTGATTAACAAACATCAAACATCTGTTTTAAGAATTTGTTTTTTAATGTGGGGAAAAAGCATGCTGTAAACATGTTTTTGATAACAAATAATAGGAGTAATATTGAAAGATAGCAAGCAAAAACAATTAATGAAATTACAGAAAAATTTCTCTTAAAAGTATAACTTATATTCTTATTAGTTATATTATCAGGAACTCTAGAAGAATCTATATTAATGCCACTTAAATTTTTAATATATATAAAAAAAACACACATACACAGTATATATTAAAGTTCAATGCATTTTTTATATAATTATTTATGTAACTAAATTGTTTACAATTATTATTGGCTGAGTAATGGAATAACTAAAATCATATTTAAATTCAGGAGATTTGTATTGTATTTATATTTTCTAAAAATTATTATTATAATATGAGACAATAATTCTAATTCTAGAGCAATCAGAAGACATAATTTCATATGTTAGAACATGAATTTTATTAATGTACCATTATAACTGCAAACCCAAAGAACAAAAACTACTTCTATACTTGGAATAAAAGTATTTGAATTACTTGTTACAAATATTTATTAAGATTAGATAGTAATTATTATAAACTTTTATACTGAATTTATTTTTAATATTTAAATTAATATCATATCAAGTACTTCCACTGCATGTTATATAGCAACAATGAACTAGGTCAAGGTCACACTTAAGAACCAACAGCTTTACATCTGGTTAATTTTTTTTTATGATTTATTTAGTCTTTAATGCATCAACAGCATTTTATTGTATTTTTCAATTCAATGAATGAATATATAAATACACATATTTTCATTTAAAATTATGTATAATAAATTAATTACACTAAACTATTTTAAAATTTTAAGCAAATTTCTGATGTACTGGCAATAATTTGTGAAAGAAAAGTGTTTTTTTATAACATCACTTGCTACAAAACTTCAATAAATATTTTTTCTGCTGAGAGATTAAATTATTTAATTGTAATATATATATATTTTTTCTTCTCGTGGATAAATAATTTAATTCAACATCTTAAATATAATTATCTATTTATTGAATCACTTATTATGATATAACAAAACCTGAATATATATTACATTCCTGTATAATTATATTTATATGAATCTTTTAACTTAACAACAAATTTTTATTCCTGTAAAGCAAAATCTTTGTGTGAACAATTACTATTGTAATTTCTCTTTTTAAACTTTTGTAGTGATTATAATATACAGTCAACCCCCCTATAATTACGGTCCCTATAATTACGATTCCTATAAAACTACGAAAAAAATATACGTATTTTGGAAATGTTGAGTCGGATTAGTGTAGAATCGATTAATTTTATGGAAGAAAACCTTTCAATCAGCCGTAGTCCGTAAACTTGACATGTGTCGGGCTGTGATTGGAACAACTTGTAAGAAATCGGATTCCTAATAAATTGGAACGTATCTATATCTTATAGGGGG